CTTTAAAAAAAAAAAAAAGAGTAATGAATTTTACCAAACTGGTATCCATAAATATAAAATTAAAAATAGCACCACTCTCATTAGGACATACAGTTTAAAAGGTTAATTTTTATTTTTTTAATCATTTTTTAAAAAGATTTTATTTATTTATTTGAGAGAGAGAAAGCACAAGCAGGGGGATAATAGGGGCGCCTGGGTAGCTCAGTCAGTTAAGCTTCTGACTTCGGCTCAGGTCATGATCTCAGGATCCTGGGGTTGAGTCCCACTTTGGACTCCTCACTCAGTGGGGAGTCTGCTTCTCCCTCTTCCTCTGTCCCTCCCCCTGCTCATGCTCTCTCTGTCTCTCTCTCAAATAAATAAAATCTTTAAAAAAGAAACAATTATTAAAAAATTAATTATGAAATGCTTGACATAGAAAAAGAGTTTAAGTATAATAAACATCAATGTATCCAACACACAGCAAAAAAAAAAAATAAAACATTACTAATTTAGTTGATATGTTCTGTGTTACATCTATTCATGTCTCAATCCTGAATATACTGGTTATCTTTACTATGCATTTCTTTTACACTTGTATTTTAGTGACTTACCTCATATTATATAACTATGAGATATAATTGGCATAAATACATTTGGATATGAACATGACTAATTCTTGTTATGCAACAACCAATGAGCAGAAGTACATAGACCTCCCATATGAAAGTCTACTAATTGAGAGTATTCAGTTGCCTTAGATATCATTATGTTTTATATCATTTAATTTACTGAATCAGTTCAGTGGAGTCAGGTTAAAAGAGCTCCTACTGTATTAAAATACTTCTAAAAATCATTCAGCCTTTACTTTCTAGGAATGTGGCAGAATAAATACCTGGACCAATCTTTTTGCTGTAAATAACAAAACTCCTGCATAAAATATGAAAGAAAGAAGTTATCAATCCTTAAAGAATTGATATGCTCTTAATAAAGACATTTTCAGAATAGGCATTGAATGTAGTCAGGAAACTAGGGAGTTAAGCAGAGCATTGTAGCTAGTTTTCATTAGCTAGTATTAGTCAAACTTAGTGAACTTCAGTTTTGATTTCCACTGCCTCACAGGATTTAGGAGACTGGAGACAGCTTAATTTGGGGAGTTCTATAGGAGTTAACTCCATAAAGCTGGAACCCCAATGGACTACACCAGGGGTTAGTAAACTCTTTTTTGTAAAGGATCAGATGGTAAATATTTTAGGCTTTGTGGGCTATATGGTCTCTGTCAAAGCTACTCAACTCTGTTGTTGTAATTCTAAAGCAGTGATCAACAATATGTGAATGGGTGTGGCTATGTTCCAATGAGATTTTATTTACTAAAACAGGTGATGGGCCAGATCTGGCTTACTGGCCCTCACTTGCCAATTCCTTAACATAAGGATGACCTAGAAGCAATTTGTTTCTCCCTACCTCTGGGGACTGACAGTAAAATCAAGCGTCTCAGCTGCTTGAGTAAAGGAGGGAAATGGTGGCCAAGAATTTGTAGCCACAAGCTGGCCCTTATATGAATTCCAAAAAAATCTCAAGCAGTCTTAAGACTTAAGATAGTTTTGGGGCACGTGGGTGGTTTAGTTGGTTAAGTGTCTGACTCTTGGTTTCTGCTCAGGTCAGGATCTCATGGGTCAGTGGATCAAGCCTCACATCAGGCTCGGCGTTCAGTGGGGAGTCTGCTTGAAGGTTCTCTCCCTCTGCCCCTCCCCCCACTTTCTCTCTCTCTCTCTCAAATAAATAAATACATCTTTTAAAAAAAGGCTTAAGATAGTCTCTGGAAGAAACCCACTTTATTTTAGGCCTCAAAGAAGTTCCACAAATAGGGGCGCCTGGGTGGCTCAGTTGGTTGAGCGACTGCCTTCAGCTCGGGTCATGATCCTGGAGTCCCGGGATCGAGTCCCGCATCGGGCTGCCTGCTCAGCGGGGAGTCTGCTTCTCCCTCTCCCGCTCCCCCCTCTTGTGCTCTCTCTCTCTCACTCTCTCTCTCAAATAAATAAATAAAATCTTTAAAAAAAAAAAAAAAAAAAAAAGAAGTTCCACAAATAAAATTCCAAAAAAATGAACATCTCATAGTAGGAATAATTAAATCTACCAAGAAAATGCATAAGCAAGAACCAGCAGAGATAACAGAAAAGGCCACCATAGATTTCAGATGTTGAAATTATGAAACACAAGTTAGAAATTAACTATAATTATTCCACTTAAAGAAATAAAGGACAAACTTGAAAATATCAGTATGAGACAGGAAATTATTAAAAAAAAAACCATATTTTTAAAATAGCCAAATATAGGGGTGCCTGGGTGGCTCAGTCATTTAAGCATCCAACCCTTGATTTCAGCTCAGGTCATGATCTCAGGGTCATGGAATTGAGCCCTGTGTTTGGGCTCTGTGCTCAGTGCAGAATCTGCTTGAGATTCTCTCCCTCTGCCCCTCCCCCCAACTCTCTCCCTCTCTCTCTCTCAAATAAATAAATAAATAAATAAAATCTTAAAAAAAGAAAAGTAAAATAGCCAAATATAACTTCTAAATAATGAAATAGAATGAAATAAAAAACTCAATTAATGGATGTAATAATAGAGCAGACATCTTGAAGAGAGAAATGATGAATCTAAGGCAATTACAAAGAAGATAGCAAGAAGTAGAAAATAGGACAGGCTAAGAATCATAGAGGATAAAGTGATAAAATGTCATGTACATCTAATTAGAAAAGTGAATGGGGAAGAGGACATATTTGAAGATTTATAATTGAGCATTTTTAAAAACTAATGAAAAATAACCCACACACTCAAGCCAAATAATCTCAAGGATAAATACAAAATCCCTATCTAGACACATTCTTGTGAAATCAGAGAACACTAAAGGCAAAGAGAAGAAAAAGTTGTCACTAGACAAATTATAGAAAAAGGAAAGAGTAACTGACTTATTATTAACAACACCCTGAAACCAGAATACAATGAAATGATATCTTTAATGTGCTGAGAGAGAGTAAATGTCAATCCAGAATCTCTATCCAGCAAAAATATCTTTTAAGAATAAGGTTATAATACAGATATTTTCAGACAGACTAAGTTACCATCAGACCCTCACTAATAAAAATGCAAAGCCAAAATATGGAAAAGCCCAAATGTCCATTGACAGATGAATGGATAAAGAAGATGTGATATATATATATCCTATATACATAGGATATATATAGGAATATTACTCAGCCATCAAAAAGAATGGAATTTTGTCATTTGCAATGATGTAGATGGAACTAGAGGGTATTATGCTAAGCAAAATAAGTCAATCAAAGAAAAACAAATACCATATGATTTTACTCATATGTGGGATTTAAGAAACAAAACAGATGAACATAGGGGAAAGGAAGGAAAAATAAAATAAGATGAAAACAGAGAGGGAGGCAAATCATAAGAGACTTGTAACTGTGGAAAACAAACTGAGGATTGCTGGAGGGGAGGTGGGTGGGGGGATGGGGTAATTGGGTGATGGGCATAAAGGAGGGCACTTGAAGTAATGAGCACTGGGTGTTGTATGCAACTGATGAGTCATTGGATTCTACCTCTGAAACTCATAACACAGTATATGTTAATTAAATTGAGCTTAAATAAAAATTTTTTAAAAATTAAAAGTTAAGAGGTGCCTCGTGGCTCAGTGGGTTAAGCATCTGCCTTTGGCTCAGGTCATGATCCCAGGGTCCTGGGATCGAGTCTGACATTGGGCTTCCTGCTCATTGGGGAGCCTGCTTCTCCCTCTCCCTCTGCCTGCCTCTCTGCCTACTTGTGCTCTCTCTCTGTCTCTGTCAAATAAATAAAATCTTTTAAAAAATTAAAAATTAAAAATAATTAAAATAAAAATACAAAAATACATAAGGCAAAAGAAAAGTGATCTTAGATACAAGGTCTGAGATGCAAAAAAAGTGTGAAGAGCACAGAAAATGGTAAAAATGAGGACAAATCTAAATAAATATAAATTGTATAAGACTATATAATGTCTTGTGGGATTAAAAAATTTAAAAATATAGCATATAAATCTGGGTGTGAAATGTGATAGTGGGGAATGAAATAGTGTTCTAAGTTCCTCAGTCATTAGGAAAGATGGAAAGGTGATGATTATCTTTGGACTTTGATAACTTAAATATGCATATTGTAACTTCTATAACAACCTTTAAAAGAATAGAAACAGTGTAACCTCTAAATTAGCAAAGGGGAAGAAGTAAAATTAGAAAAACGTACCTGGTGAATTAAAAAGAAGGTAAAGGAAAAAAACAAGAAAAGAGACAACATATAGAGCTAAGAGTTTAGTGAGGATGGTGGACATAAAGTTATTTTTTTTTAAAGATTTTATTTATTTATTTGAGAGAGAGAATGAGAGAGAGAGAGAGCACAAGAGGGGGGAGTGGGAGAGGGAGAAGCAAACTCCCTGCTGAGCGGAGAGCCCGATACGGGACTCAATCCCGGGACTCCAGGATCATGATCTGAGCCAAAGGCGGTTGCTTAACCATCTGAGCCACCCAGGCACCCGACATAAAGTT